AGTAAGTGAATTAGTAATTTATTAATTTAATATTTAATTTTACATCACATTGACAGACATTACAAGCTATATGGCAATGAAGATTATAACGAAAATTATGGCTATGGTGATGAGAATTACAGTTATGATAATGAAGGTAAATTATTATTTTATTTCCAGTTTGCCAATTATAAATTATATCATTATAAAGCACACGTATATAAATTTGATATAATTTGGATCTTATAGAACCAATTGAGGTTGCCAATACCACTGAAACTGCCAATACCACTGAAACTGTTAATACCAATACAACAACTACTAAGAGGATTGTCCAAAGTGACATCATTTCGCTCTGATATAAGCTCATACCCTTAGTAGAATCTCACAAACTCATAGAGCAGGTGTATATTATCATTATACATTTATCATAAATATATAAATTAAACATATACTAATCAAATCAAATTAATATTCCCGATCGACGTGTAAAGAATAATCTTAAAAAAGATACTGTGTGAAATGTAATGATATGAAAGTACCAATTATACGACTGCGGAATTGCTTGAATTAGCAGGTCATGCAGCCCATCATAACGAGAAAAAAATGCATTAATTCACAATATTTATAGTTAGCAATAAAATGTGATAAAGAACTTGATACAAGTCACTCCCATTATAATGACATTCGTTATAATTACAATCTTGTTAATGACATTTTGGATATAAATTTACTCCCGTTGTAACGACATTCACTAGTAATAATAATAATAATAATAATGTATTTCCGTGTAATTTCCGTATTAGTAGATTAATGTGTTTCAATCAAGTTACATTTAACAAATAAAATGTTTTATAAGAAAAAAAATGCCCATTTTTTTTTGCGAGTTTATCAGTTACTTAATAATAAAAAGGTCTGTTTTTATTTGCTGCTTTATCAGTTACTTAATAATATTCCAGAACTATAAAATCTTATTATTATTCTCACATTCCGTTTAATTCCACATTTACAAGTTAATATAAATGACATCATGGAAAAAATCCGGATAAGAATCTTGTAATTACCCAGCAAGATCTGTTCCGCGTTTTGATCCCAATTAAAATATTTATAAACTAAAATATATATATCAATGCAAATAAAATATATTACCTCTGGTTAGTTATTAACACGTCTTTTTTAGGAGAACCGTGTTTTTTTCTGTCAAAAAATAAATAGTTTTTCCAAAAAAAAAAATCTTTGTATAACACCAAGTGCCAATAATAAATAATTAATGACGCGTTTGTCGATCAAATAACATTTCTTTATTGTTTTTAAAAAGTCTTTAAATAAGCATATTTTATTGGACAAACCATCTTTTTTGCTATAATATAAAAGTTTAAATTTGTTATTTGACATCTTTGAATGAAATATACAGTATGGTGGAATTTGTCTATCAATCCAACTTGCAAAAAGTAACATGAGCTTTGAATTAATTGTCATTGAGTCATTTCTTACTGGTAATAAACCTAAAATTTGTTTTCTTGGATGAGTTAATAATAAGCCAAAATATGATTCCACAAATCCTTGGAAAATAGCTTTTTATATGGTAAAATGTGATTACTCAATCATTTTCAGGAATAATAATGTCTTCTAGTGTATTTTTCAACCCTTTAAATCATTTTTATTACACTTTGAAAATTTGCATTTTCAAGTTGTACAATTCCCATTGAATAGCACAATTCCAAACATCAATTTCATCTAATTTTAAATTATCTTTTTCTAATAAAGATATGAAGATTGACTTTTCAATTTCTTTCAAATCCTCAGATTTTAAAAATAACTCTGGTTCTTCATTAGTTATTTCCTTAAAATAATCCTGAAGCAAATTGAATGACGATTGATGCCTTGATGAAATTTGATAAAGATAATTTAAATCATGTTGAATCCATTCTTTGCTTTCTAAAATTAAACAACCTTGTAAATCAGCAATTAATTCGTTAAAATCTAATTCATCGCATGCTTCAAGAAGTTCAATAATTTCATAAGGATCCAAATCCTCTATATTAATAACTCCATTATAAATGTATCTTTAAATAAAGAAAGTTAATAATTTAATAAGTTATTCAAAAAAATATATTATCTGATTTATTAACTAATCGAGTAAAATTAATTAAATCTTACGATAAAAGAACTTCAAAAATTTTTGGAGACATGTTGTCTTTCTCAAATAAAATAATACCATCTTCTGATCTTTTAACCCAGTTAGTTGAAAAAGCAGCTTTGAAGTACGAGGATCTTGCTTTTAAAATGTTAGAATGAGCTTTAAAAATTTTAACATCCTGGTCTACACCAACTTTAATTTTTACGTCATAAAAGTCTGATTCAATTAATAAATTGGTTAAATCATTTACAAGTTTATTAATATGTCTTAGTGGTGAAGCATCATTGTTGGAACTAATTAAATTGTTGATTAATGTTTCGATATTTTCTAAGGATGAAAAGCTATTAGACATTTTAGATGAATGCAATATTGTTAATTTTTTTTTTTAAAAATAACAAAATTTATTACCAGATTTTTATATAAAACACCGTGATGACGATCGCCACCATTCAATGAATGACATGACATTAACTTATTAATATTAGTGTATATATTACTATATAATGGATTTTAGGTTTTTTTTTTCTGGCAACAAAACCAAAGTGGAAAATTGGTATTACCATGAATTCATAATCGTGTATACATATGTAAACTCGGCCAAAATTTTCACCGCATTTTCTTAATATTAATATTTAATATTAAGTAATTTAATTCGATAAAGTCGGTCATATGAGCTCACCCCCACATATTAATATTAATATTAATATTAATACAGTCAGTGCCGGTCCGCTCATATGAAAACTCCCTCCATAAATGCATCCCACGTGACCAATGTATAAA